TTTAAATATATGAATTGTACTCCGTATGATATACAAAGTAAAAAGATATAGAATAATATTTAATACAATAAAAGATATGAAAAATAGGTGAATATCTTTTTTAGGAATTGAATCACAATTATATAAAAAAGTTAATACCTTTTTTAAGAAGCTAAGTGAATAAAAAAAAAAAAAATTGGAGGGAAATCAACAGCACCAAGAAATAACACGTGTCATTCTCGGTGTCTGTTCTAGTATTATGTTATGTTATTAATGGATAGCGATGTTCGTGATAACTTTCTTTAAAGGTCAATTTCATGAAAAAAAAGTTTTCTTTCTTCTCATTGTTCCTTAAAATTGATTCTTATAGGATCAAGTATATCATACCTTTAATACAAGTACACTTCTAGATATTTGTGGAAAAAAAATTATTACTCCGTGTTTAAGAAACTAACAAAATCTTTATTCTTTCTAATATATCTACGTCATTATATCTATAAATCTAGTGATAGAAGAAAATACAGAGTAATATATACAAGTATATTAAAATTGACTTTTATACTTTTCTTGTCTTTTTTTCTATTAACGCATAAAGTCATACGTATCTCACACGCTGATGTATATAATACTACGTAATTTCCTCATATAGGGTTATAATCCCGCTATAATATGAATAATAAAAATGATTATATCATTAACCAATTAAACTAATCTACTCATCGTAGTTTGACTTCCACACAACTTCCATTAATTAGCAACGAAGTAACTTATATGTGCGATACAAGGAATAACAAAACGAGGCAACTACTCTAGTACTCTTCCACACCTGAAATTCTATTTTTCTTTCAAAAATATCAAATCAATATTTAATTTTTCATCAATATAAAATTATTAAAACTTTTTTTTTTGAAGAATAAAAATAAATTATTAAATTAGGATTACAAAGACGTCTCTTTCGTGCCATCTTCGTTCTTCCCTCTTGTCTATATTAACTCCCTCACCTTCTTATTCTTCCTTTCTCTCTCTTCAATTCTCTTTCTCTCTCCTCTTTCTGCTGACCTTCCTTTCGTCGGAGATCCGCTATTTTCCGGTCAATTTTCGCCGGCGAATTCCGTTATTCCGGCGATTTTACGCGTTGTTTCCTTTCTTCTCGATCCTTCTTCAGTTTTACTGCTCAGTCATGAATCCCGAGTAGTAAGTTTTCTGTTTTAATTCTTCGATTTTATCCGACTTTTGAGGGGTTTTGGATTGTTTTGATTTGTGATTCTGTGAAAAGTGAGTTAATTATGTGATTTTGTTGATTGAGGGTTTGATTGTTTTTGTTTGTGATTGAATTTGTCGGTTGATCTGTGGTGTTTTCTGTTAGATTTGGATTTTGTTTATTTTTTTTTGTGAAAGATCGCATGTTTGAGTTGTTGGCAAAGGTGAATTTTGGTTGAGTTTTGAAATTGGAAGGTAGGAGTTTTGAATTTGGGAGAATTCAGTTCATAAAACATCTGTTCTGCGTAATTGTTGTTGGTAATAGCAATGAAATTCATGATATAAACGCTAAATCGTTGAAAACACTCTATTTCGAGGCGGAATTTGAAGTCTTTTGTGAATAGGATTTGGTTGGATTTTTAGAGATATTGGGAAAAGAAAAGCATTGTAGTTTGATATGTGGAAGCATTGAGGGCGTTTTGTAGTCGGCGTTGTTTGTCGGAGTTGGACTGAACATCCACCAGGCACCAGCTGCTAGCCAACTGTGAACGGGTGTCGAGTTTGAAGTCATCGAAGGACTCGGTGAAATTTTAAAGACTTGTGTAACTAAGGTGGAAAATTGCAATTCATTGGGTGAAAAAGTCAGTTATTGAATTTGATGTTCAATCATAGATAAAATTTATACTACAATTTATGTAGAAGCCACTCCCTTCGGCGGCCCTTTTACTTCTTGCTCCGTAATTTGTTTTGAAGTTCTGTAATGCTGCAAGCTTTTTAATTCTTGTGCTATCTTTGTGAAGTTTATGTTTTTCCTACCTTGAATGGTGATGCTTTCTATTGCAGTGATTACCTTTTCAAGCTTTTGCTTATTGGAGATTCAGGTGTTGGAAAATCATGTCTTCTCCTGAGATTTGCGGTAAGCTGCATAAGCTCATATTTTATGGTCATTTTTTGGGCTTATATGCCTTTTTTGTAGTAGTTGCTAATTGTTATTTTATAATATTTGGTGTTGGACTTAGAAAAGTAGAATGTGAACTGTGGTGTGAAATAAACAATATCATGAGTCATTTCTGGGCTTTTATTATTTGAAGACAGAGGCTTATGAATTTAGTTTGCCATTTGATTATCAATCTGCAAGAGAGTGCTTCTGGCTTACCCTCCTTTTCTTTCTGGCTTTTAGTAACCACGTCTTCACATTACTTGCTCAATTCTTTGCATTGTGCATATGCTATCTATAATGTTGAAACCTACCTCTCTTTTTTCCTGTCTGTTGGACCTTTAACTAAAGCATCTGCTGTCACTATCCCCAGTTATAGTTATTTGGCTATTATTGAAGTTCTTTGATGCTTAATTTTTTTGACAAATTATTCCCTAGTCTTGACTGTACGAGTTTTATATGGAAGGGTGTTACGCCATCCTGTGTAATTGTCAATGTGATTTTGCCTTTCTACCCATGTGACGTACACCTTGGTTTTGTTGTGAGGCTCTTGCAGCTGTCATAGTAAATATTTATTGCACAGCTCACTGCTTGCCTGTTCTTACATCCACAATCTATTATTGTTGCAGGATGACTCATATTTGGAAAGCTACATAAGCACTATTGGAGTTGATTTCGTGAGTGTTCTTTGACCCAGCTGTAGTAGTTGATTTGTTTTTTTTATCTTACCATCTCGGTCTTATATAGTTATATTTGTGATTGTAGAAAATCCGCACTGTGGAGCAAGATGGAAAGACCATTAAACTTCAGATTGTAAGTTTGTTTTTCTTCCGTCGGTCAGTAAAATCTTTGTTCTCTTCGAACAAAAAATGCATTTACTTATGGAGATAATTAAAGCCTCTGAGTGACTTTCTTGGCATGTACGTACTTGTCTTGCCATCCCCCAAAATAAAACATCTAATGTAATAATGCTTTCTCTGACATCCAGTGGGACACTGCTGGACAAGAGCGTTTTAGGACAATCACTAGCAGCTACTACCGTGGAGCACATGGAATCATTGTGAGTTTCATAGCTATGCTTTGGCTTAGGTGCCTCTTCTAATTTTTTTCATGATTTCAACTCCCCAGCTAATTTGCTAACTTGAGTTTTATGTATGGCATTGTAGGTGGTCTATGATGTAACCGATATGGAAAGTTTCAACAACGTGAAGCAGTGGCTAAACGAAATTGATCGTTATGCTAGTGACAATGTTAACAAACTTCTGGTTGGAAACAAGTGTGATCTTGCTGCCAATAGAGCTGTACCATATGAAACTGCCAAGGTTATTATGCTAACTCATGTTTTTTGCTAGGATTATTTTCACCGATCAGCTTTAAATGGGATGTTAACTCTTGATTTGCACCTTGCTGTCTTATACAGGCTTTTGCTGATGAAATTGGCATACCTTTTATGGAGACCAGTGCAAAGGATGCTACTAATGTAGAACAGGCTTTCATGGCTATGACTGGCTCAATCAAAAACAGGTATATACATTTTCCTGATCTTTCCATCTATGTTACTCCGATACCCTGCTGTACGTCGAGTGTCCGGTGTCGGATCTTCCGACACTTCTACATGACACGGCACCCAAATATATAGTGGCTTTATATGAAATTTTATAAAATCTGGAGTGTCGAAGGATCCGACACCATGTCGGACATGACACCCAAATCCTAGTCTGTGCAACATAGCTTTCCATTATTGTGGTTGCATGTATAGTCCTCCTCAGGAATGAGCCCTTGGTAAAAATTTACCATGTGACTAACTTATATGCAAAATCTTATGCTTTAAAAATGGGAATTTTCTTAATGGGTTTTTGGTAATTAGTTGCTCTTTACAAGTATTTTGCACATAGTATCAATTTTTGATGAATATATTACTGAATTTAGAAAACCTTATACAGGCAGGATAAATTACGTAATAATATGATTTTAGATGTTACCAACTTTTCTTCGAACATTACATTAATCAAGTATTACAACATGTTATGATGTTTACCATCCCTAGCCTATGTTCTTTAATGTTATACAGCACCTGGTAGTGCTTGTGTAGTATTAACTGATCCTTTGTGATCTATTGCGAATTTGTCCTTTTGTCATTGAGAATTATTCCGAAATAATGATAGTGCAATCTGATTAGGGTGTAGGATAGCCTACTAGTGGAATGTTACCTTTTGCTTTATTAATTAGTATTCTCAATATGATTAGTGGTATTTTAGAAGTATCTACTTTTTTTTATGCCTCTCCTTTTCTTTTCTTTTCGTGCTTTCTTTCTTTTTTAAACTTTTCCTTTTTAGAAAAAATGTTCAAAAGATGACTTAGTTTTTATCTACATTTTTATGACAGGATGGCCAGCCAACCCATGAACAATGCCAGGCCTCCAACAGTTCAGATCCGAGGTCAGCCAGTTGCACAGAAGAGTGGGTGCTGCTCTACTTAGGGAAATATTATATTTTGGTGCCACATTGTGGCATGTAAGAATCTGATTTTGCTGCAATATTATTTGAAATTCAACATTCATCGACGCGGTCTTATCTAGGTCCCGTGTTTTAAGTGGTTTGCAATTTGTTAACTTGAAGATTCTCATTCTTTTCTACAAGTAGATTTGTATAAAATGATGGATTTTACTGAAAATTTTAGCATGAATTTATTTGCCAATCATCATTTTTTTGCTTAATGTTTTTTACAGTTTCTATTCTACTAGATGTACACGAGTTGCCATTATATTCCTCGGTAACCTTCACTATTCCTTCGTTTGAGATGGTAATCTACCAGAAATACCCTTCCGCTGCATTATGAATGTTTGCTTTGCAGACATCTAAGAAATGAGCATACAAATGTATGATTGAAGGACCAAAAAGACTAAATCTATTTCAATAACAAAACTGAGCGAATGATCTTTTGTTTTCGTGCTGTATACCCCCTTCTAACAACTAAGACCCATAAAAGCAAACATCAAATACAAGAAAAAAAGAAAGAGGTAACAGAAAATAAATATACAAGTTGAAAAAACATAAAATTTTTCCTTAAAGTTGTATTTGGTACAGGACACTCACAGCTGGAAGTCCTACTCAAAAAAGACTTAAAATCAAAGGGCATACAAGTAAAAGCCCACAAAAAGACCAAAGATCATAGCTATGGCTTCACTTGCCACCTAAAGTGGGAAACTCCCCAGGATCTTCAATAGCTGGAGCAGGTGAATTATACACCCTGTTACCTCCACCACCATATCCACCACCTCTTGAGCCACGACCACGTCCCCTGCCGCGACCTCCGAATCTCTCCCCATCAGCAGGCTTCAGAAACTCGTTAATGCTGACAGACTGCACCATGACAACATAACCAAAGCTGCTATGTCAGCAACATGACCTCAAAACAGATGAAAGCAAAGGACAAAAAGAAAGAGAACAATAGTCTGGGTCAGCCAAAGACTTTTATTATGTTTCCCACTTGAGAATTATTGATTTTAGCAGTAATAATTTAACAAATTTGGGATCTTTTAGGTATCTAGTCATTGAAAAAGATGTTTCCTGGTTTGATCCCACATCAGGGAGTAAGCCACATTATTCTAATTCTAAAAATTCTATGATCCCACAGCAAAATAATCTGGGTCAGCCAAAGACATTTCCTAGTTTTTCCATGCGAGAATTATCAAGTTAACAGCATTATGCAGATAGTGGGATCTAAAAAGTCTCAGGTCAATGAAAAAGAAATTACCCGGTTTGACCCACAGATATGAGTATGCCAATTTCTCTAATTCTAAAATTTCTATTACTTCCCTAGTCAACTAAAACAAGATGATAGATTCTTTCCTAGTGGCCAGTGCTAAGTTTACATGCTACTAACATTAACGGTGTGTTTGGATTAAAGGAAACGGAGGGAAAAGAAGGGAAGGGAAATGGAGGGAGGAAGTATATTTCATTTGGATAGCAAGTTAGGGATGAAGGGAATTGGAGGGAAGAGAAATGGAGGGATTAAATTCTAAGAAAATGATCCCTCCAACAATGGAGAGATTTGGAAGGAAAACTCTCCATTCTTCCTTCCCCTTCCTTTCCCTTCCCTCCCCTTCACCTCTCTCCCCTTCTTTTCCTTCCCTTAACTTTACCCAAACAAGCTGTAAGTTTTTTTTCTCTACTTTTTCTTTCTCCTTAAACTCAATGTCGTCCACCTACATGAACTTGGCTCTAAGATGGAGTAATATGACTAATAAACTGGCTCATAACTGTCATAAGGCATATAAGAATGCCGAGCCACATGACAGGCAAGAATGTCTTTCCAAACCAGCAAGGCAATAGCATTCAATCCTTGGAGAAGCCTAAACATTATCCATGATTTGCTAACAAGTAATAACCAGTGAAGCAAATAAGCAAGGATGCACAAGGATGAGTCTTATGATGAAAGTGGAGAATACATGTAGAAATGTCCGACAAGCCCTACTTTCAAATAGAAACCGACAGCCATATCACAATTGCTTTATCTTTACATCCTACAAGCTACTCAATTGTCTCCCACCCAAACAGACATAAATGGAATATTATGTATAGAGTAAATACTGTAAAGAGCCTTGTAACCTCTTCGCATCCAAGAAAATACAGTGAAAGTGTAGCATGCATATCTCAATAACATTACCTTCTTCACTTTCTCCTTTTCAAGTGATTCCTTCTTCTTATCCTTGTCAGAACCCTAACAGGGAGAAAAAGAGAAGTTGTGAAAGGTGTAATACACATTAATAAAGATTAAAACAAATGCACTTATGTTGGTATCAGGAAATTTACCAATTTAATGAAAACTGATTCGTCCTCTTTCTTGTTTGAAAGCTGTTGCATGGACTGGAGATCTTTGTCAACCTCCACCTTCCGTTCCTCAGTCTTGAGTGCTACTAGAGCTTTCCTCTTCTCTTCCAGCAGCTTCTCATACTCTTCAAGAGTCATCTCCTATTAACAAAACATTATAAAAACACAAAGTATGTTCAACATTCAATCTGCAATAATGACTAGTTATAATAAGCCTCTTAGACCCCTGACTACCTTAGCTCACAGTATTGAACGATTTTCTGTGTAAAAAAACTCAGTATGTTAGATGAATCAGCTACCTATCAATCAACCTTACCAAATACATCAGTCTTTTCACAATATTCAAGTAATAAAGTGGACAGGTGGGTTTTGTTTCATAATTGTTGCCTTATTCTGATGCAACTTCTTCTCACTCCACACTCCACACTTATGTCCCACATGATAGGTGGGTCTTGCAAGATAAAGGAAGTGAGCACATTTAAACCAGGCAAAAGGCATTTCCTCAGCAGGGTATGTTCACATTCTACGAGCGAGTAATTGCTTTTGGTATCTTTTTTGTATCAAGATCTAAGCAAATGATTGATAAACTGCACAACATAGCTAGAGATAAAATGGTCTACGAATCATTCCTTTTTCATTCCTCTTAGTTAATTGAAAATTCTCTTCCTGGAATTGATTATATGAATATTTCACAGCATAAGCCAACACACTTGAGTTTTGCGTTGTAAGAATATTATTTAAAAAAATAAAAACTCAATGAGCTACTAATATGCAGTACCACGAAACCTAGGATAGACACCAGATATCATTTTTGTTTTTACTTTGTTGGCCTTTTCAGTAATCACTCTTACATTACCCTATTCTTTTCTTGTAAAGTCATATTGTATGGATATTACCTGACCATCGCACGACCCATTACCGGATCACTTGAACGGAAAAACCTCCGAGTAAGAAATTTATGACGCTCCTCTATGACGTATGGTGAGGAAACCATATTAGCTGGGGAGGGTGGTGATAAACCAAAGGCAAGATACAATGATTTTCAAAATCAACATCATAAGTACTTGAGGATTCTAAGCTCCAAAATATCCCATAAGATGACTTATCCTATTCTAACCCATTTATATCACAGAAACAGGATTTTTATAACTACGATATCTCACCTTACCTTTTAAAGCAAATTGAATAGGTAGATTGCATAATCGCACTAAAAACATGGACAATAAATGCAACTGATCTTCAAACAATATTCACTAATACTACTCCGTAAGCAAAGAATATATATGCTTTGCAGGTAAGGAAACACGCAGTTAGCTATATTTTTATAAAACTATTCAAGCTGAGTAGATGACGGTAAAAAAATTACCAAATCAAATTCTTATTAAAGATTTAATGAAAAATAAATTCAACCTCAACTTTGTGAAAAGAATATAGCGGCACTAAACTGACATATACCTTTTCTTCTGGTTCCTTTTCTTCAGTCTCCTCTGGCTGGCCCTCCTTGTTGCCTTCAGCAGCATCTTCAACAGCTGGAAGATTCTCAGTGTTCAAATTCTTCTCATTTTGTTCTCCAGCTTCCTCGGTACCACTGATAGTGAATAGCATATTTAGTAGCAAACATAGCAAGAAAAAAAAAAAAAAAAAAAAGAGCTCTAAAATCCAGGAACAATATTAAAGTAGTAACATAGGAGAAAACAATGCTGCAAGTGCACAGAAATCTCACGGAGCAACTTCTTCTGATTCAGCACCCCAGTTTCCACGGCCAAATCCCTCACGTTTGACCTCTTGGCTGGAAGGAATAGAAGGAACGTACGTCTGTCAGCAAGCAATCAACAGGAATAATGACAAACAGTTACACAGACAGAAAAGGAACACTTACCCACGTCCAGTCCCACTTCGACGTTCATAGGTTCTTCTTGGTCGGTCACCATCTCTCCCCTCCTCATTGTTGAAACCACCACGGCGACCACCACGGAAAGGGCCACGAGGTCCCCCAAAAGGTCGCCTTTCCCTTCCTTCTTCACCCCTGTCTCCTTGACCGATCACTCCAGTGTTGTTAAAAGCATTTTCATTGCTTGAGTAGTCTCTATTGTAACCACCACGTCCACCACGATCACCACCACCACGACCGCCTCCACGGCCTCCTCCACGTTGGGTCTCATTCTTTGCCTCCCGAACTACACCAAATACACAAGAGCCAACGTCAATGTATGGAATAAAAAGCAAAGCCCGATGAGGAATGGATGATAAATACCAAATAGACTCATTATAACCACAATAAACATTGGATTATAAATCCAAAACATCAAATTGGAGTTCAAAGTTGCTTATCACAGTTCAAACATTACCTCAACTAACTTCTTAGTTAAACATGAAGATCTTGAAACATAATTAGTTTCCAAACTCGATCAAGTACACACCTTTTAAAACACCAAATACTCAACACAAACAATTACAAACAAAAGAATAAAACTAAACATACAAACACCACAAGATAACACAAAACACAATCCAAACCAAACACAAATCCAGATATTATACACAATAACACTTCAATCTCCAAACTTACAACAACCAGTTCCTAAAATCATATCATATCAATCATCAAACACCAAAAACAACACAAAACAATCCAAGTAACAACAGCCCAGATGCTCAAACCTAAATTACAACCAACAAATTACCAAAACAATAAACCATTTAACAAAACATAGCCACAAAATCAATCAAAACCTCACCAGCTTGGGATGGGGGCAAAGGTTTGGAGGGCAATTTCGCAGCCTTTTGTTGCTGCGATTGAGCACCACCCTGAGCTGGGGTTTTCTTCGGCGCAGCAGCCGCCTTCTGCAGCTGAGCTGAAGCCTTTTCAATTAGCTGCGAAGGATCATCGTTATCGTTGTCACCCAACAAATCAAAAGGGTTCATAGTCGCCATTTTTTCAAGATTTGAATTGGGTTTTTAACAAAAATTAATAAAATGCTACAAACCCCAGAAAATCAAATCAAAATTAAGAACAAAAAAAGGGGAAATTAATTTGTTTTCGATACCATTTGGGAAATTATAATTTAGATTGGTGGGATGTTTTCAGGCAAAAATTGTCACATCCAAAGAGAGAAAAAAAGGGGATAGAGGAAGAAGAGGAGAGAGAGTGAAGAGATGAGTGACGAGGCTCTAAAACCCTAGCCGCAATGTGATTAAATTAAGAGAGAGAAAGGGAGAGAAGAGAGAGAAAGTAGAATCTCAACAATCTGAAATTTATCGTGTTCTATGGAGCTCGATTTTGCTGTCAATAATTTTGAGTGGTATATTTATGTTTATTTTCACTGTTTTTTTTTTTTTTTTTTTCTCATTTTTGACAAATTGTCATAAATTCGTGATTAATAAAAATCTTTTCATTCCTATAAATAGTTGTGCAAAAATAGAATATACTATGGGGGTTGATGTTCATACAAACAAAATGAACGATAAACCATAAAAGTGTATTAAATTACGGGGAATGGAACATCCTATATAGAAATTAATAAAGAAAAGAATTAAATTGTCCAAAGTAACATATAATCCATACTAAAATAAAGAAATGATATGATTATACCGTCTAACTTTGAATTTAAGGCTTTTTCACATTGTGGTTTATAATTTATTCATATATTCAAACTATGACATCATTAAATACGAATTATATAAGTCCATTTTTATGGTAGTTTAATTTATAAAGTATATCTACATTACACTTAATTTCATGCGTTAAAAGATCACAATAGATTGTGTTTTTAGGGAAAAAAAAAATCACAATAGATAATTCATTGTTTAAGTTGACAAAGTATTGTTAGCTTAACATTTTAACCTTATGGTTCTAAGACTTCTAACCTTAGATAAGCTTGATGCCCAACATATATATATGCATACACCTCTTTACAACTACACACGATCACCGTTGCTTTACTATGTAGCTCTCCTATTGTGCTCATCTTATGATGATAATCACGTCATTATCTTGACGTTCGCTATAAAAGAAGACTTAGAAAATCATTGTTAAAGCCACAAATGTAGAATAGGCAAGTCGTTATAATATGTTATGTAATCAATTCATACGATAAGGATCGAGTTCAAAATTGATAAATCTCCATTATCAATCAACGTTTCGAAAATTGAGATATTACAATCCCGTGTCGAAGACGATCTGGTCTTCTAATGTAATTTAGTGTCAGATTGGCAGTTCAGTGTTAGCTAGGCAAATCACCATTATAGCTAAAGAATGCTTTCTTTCTAGTTGGACTCGGCAGGTTAACAACCGAAAAAGAAAGAATTATGTTCTCTAAAAATAACCAGGTAGTGGAGGAGGAAGTACTAATGTAGGTTTGATATGTATGTGCAAATACATATCAAACATTAAAATATTGAAAAGTATTGTAAAGCACGTGGGGGTGGGAGAAAAGGAGGAGAGAGATGGGCATGTGGGACCAGTTTTAAATGTACCACTAAAAGCTTATATAATATCATTGACTATGTAGTGATTCTATTTCTACACGTAGTTAGTACCACTGAATGAATATACAGTACCATTGAATGAATATATAGTACCACTGAATGTTCAATGATACTATTTGATCATCTAGTGATACTATTAATCACCCAGTGGTACACTTAAATTCAGCACATGGGGGTGAGAGAAAGGAGGAGAGAGATGGGTAAATTTCATGCGAAATGTCTCTTATGCCCCTTAATATGTATGTCCAGGTACCTATCAAACCTCCTTTTGGAAGGCCTCGGTAGTGGAGAGCCCATTCTTTATGTGCATTGAATGTCTTCATGCTTTTCAATGGAAGGAGCATCAATGATGGTGTCGATGGAGTAACGCCAAAACGATAGTTATCTTCACTTCCATGTGAGCCAGCTAGTGAATAGGATTACTCATTAGGTCGCACCTGAGTATTGTCCTACAATATTATAACAATGCCATTTAGATTAACAAAATTCATCAATCATAAAGATCAACTGGGGCTTGCTTCAGCTTATGTGATTTAATGAGTTGATTGATTATCTCAAGTGTTTCATTATATTTATGTGATTCATAACACACGGCATAGGAAGTATCACATAGTATTATGACATGACAGTATCCCAGAGTCTTTGCTTTTGTGAAAAGAAGTGAATCAACTCATTTATCTATCCAATGTTAAACTTCAATTACGCCTTTAGATTTTAGTAGTTTAAGAAAATAAGGAAATTTTGTAAATAACCACCCCTAAAAGCACCTTTTGTTGAACTACCATCCATTTTATTCAAAATTAAAAAATACCACCCATTAAAGACAAAACTAGTAGGTTTCACCACCCATTTTCCCATTCTGGCCTATTTTCCGACTTGGGGGGCCTGCCATTGCATATTCCTTCCCTTTTTTTTTTTCCCTTCTCTTGCTACATTTTGGTCCAACTTCGAAATCCACCACCATCCATCTTCGAAACTGCCACCTTATTTGAAGCTCCAACACTCATCCACCACCACCAAACCCTCAACCCCTTATAACAAAGATGGCTATTTAATCATTTAAACCAATTATCAACTATGTTATCAATATGTAAAAAAATTAGGATTTTTTAGAAAATAACACCACAAAATAACACAAAATTTGATTATAACACCACAAAAAAAACTTTTATTATAACACCATAATAAAACCCAAAAAATTGATTTCACCACCACTTAATGGATTCTTGGATGGAATCTGTTAGTGGGACCCACAACAGATACGTGTCACTAAACTATTGGGTTAAAAAAAATAATAAAAAAAAATATTAAAAAACAAAAAGAAAAAAAAAACTAAACAACCTAACCCAGCCCAACGACACCACCTGTCCCCTATCGCCGACACTCCTGCCCCACCAAAACCGACGAAACCCACCGCAAATCACCACATCCCTTAGCAGCAGCAACTTCACCGTTGAAACCCCAACCAATTCGAAACCCCAACCGCCGGATTGAAACCCAAGCACCTTCGAACCACCGCAAACACCAACCACAATCACAACCAATTCGAACCCCATCACCTTCGAACCACCGCAAATATCAACCACAATCCACTAAATCGGTGCAAATCGGTATTTGCGGTGGTTCAAAGGGGTGGGAATTGGTTTTGTGCAATGGCGGAGGTTGTTATGAGGTTGCTCGGTGCGAATTTGTGGTTGGAGATGTGACGCTATGATAACTTGCTATTTGATATGATTTTAGGGTGTTTTGAACCTAGTTTACTTGATAAAATTTGCGTTTTGGTTCATTTTTACTCTATTATTATGCAATTTTTGTGTATCCTATGCTTCACGGGTTGTTGGTGTTTTTGTTGAGATTCTAGGTTCAAAAGAACGACTAAATGGAGCCCATGGATACAAAGCCGAGGTTAGAAGCAAGAAGATGGTTAAAAGAAGCCAAGGAAAGGAGCAATATAGAAGAAAAGATGGAAAAAAGGGCTTAGAAGACCCTGCACGGCCGTGCCAGACCTTGCGCGTCCGTGCAGGAGTGCTCCAGAAACTTAGAACATTCTGCCAAGGCCTGCACGGACGTGCCAAATTAAGCACGCCCGTGCAGATGTAGCTGCACGTCCGTGCCAATATATGCACGTCCGTGCGGAGCTGCTCGATTCTTAGCAGTACGTGCTGCCTCAATTCTGCCCCCTCTGCACGTCCGTGCCGAATCTGGCACGACCGTGCTTATGCTTGCACGTCCGTGCCGAATCTGGTACGTCCGTGCGGACCTGCAGTCAAGCCCGATTCTTGTTTTCTCCGTCCTTTTTATTTGAGGGTCTTATAAATACCCCCTTTGAGCTCATTTGTAGGGATTATGCAGTTTTTTAGAGCTTTCTCTTAGTTTGGTAGTCTTAGAACATTAATTTCTCAATCATTAGTTAGTTCTCAATTATTAGCTTTGAAATATTCAAAATTCAACCATTGTAGAAGACAAGTTCCACCATTGTTGCCCACCTTGAAGCTTCATAGTAACCATTTCTTACTCATCTTTTCTACTTCTCTTTACTTTGTTGTCAATTATTTGCTAGTTCTTGCATGTTTAGATTGCTAATTAGCTTAATCCTTAGTTTGAACTTGTTCAGAATTGCTTGAAATCTTTAATTGCTTTAATCTCCATGGATTGTGAGTAGTCCAATTTCTAGGGTTGGGTAAAACCCTCAATGTAGTCACTAATTACTTGTTGCATGTGCTAATTTGGTTGTTGTGGGATGATGATTAGTTGAGCTTAAGTGGTTTAATTGCTTAGTTCTTGTATATGGCCATTGCTAGAACTATTTATCCAAGCTTTCTCAACGAAGGATCGAGAGATGAACTTGAGTTAGCTCCCTTATGCTTAATTGACCCGAAATGCCATGAGAATAGGGATTACCGGTCAAGGGAACGTTTATGTCATCGTGATTATGCTTTAACACTTGTTTTATGCTATGTAACCACGAGAGTAGGTTGTATTCATGATTCAAGTAATCCCTCTAGCTTGAGAGAGTAGTTGGGTGCTTTAGATGACTTCCTCTAATTTGTCCCATTAATTTACCTTGATTGTAGCATGCTAATTGTGATTTGTGATGAAATTGAGTGGTATAACCCAAGCCCTAGATTCCTCTAAATATTGTTAACCTCCTCTTAGCTTAGTTGAATTGAATTAGAAGAAGTTACTCAAAACCAACCCAATTTAGAATTCATTTAGCTTATTTAAACGATAGTACTTGGTGGTTGATTCAACGCCTCTCTTGGGTTCGACCCTGTCTTACCCTTACTATTGTTAGTGAGACCAAGATAGGAGTTATTATCTTTGGTAGGCTCGACGACGGCCTATCACGCTACTCGGAGTTGGGGTGGTTTTCGGGGAGGGGGAAGAGAGTAAGGGCTGATTTTTGCGGTTTTGGTGGGGGCTGGAGGTTCCGACGGCTTGGATTAGGCTGTTGGCGCGGCTGGGAAAAGGTGGTGCCGGTGGTGGAGCTGGCTGAGTTTAGGTTTAGGGTTTTTTTTTTCTTTTAATTTTTTTTAAAACCAATAGGCATTTGACACATGTTAGTTATGGCCCCACTAACGGATTCCATCCATAAATCCGTTATGAGGTGGTGAAATCAAATTTTTGAGTTTTTTTTATGGTGTTATAATAAAAGTTTGTTTGTTTTTTTTTTTTTTTTTTTTTTTTTTGTGGTGTAATAATCAAAATTTGGGTTTTTTTGTGGTGTTATTTTCTAAAATTTCCAAAAAATTTATATAAGTGCAAACCACAAGGTTCAATTAA